CCGTCTGCTAACATTGAGCGATATATTCTGCATGATTCCAGCCACCAGACACAACTAACAGCAACAACAAACACATTGAGTGTGAGTGAGGGTTTGGCCGAGGCAGGGAGGTGCAGATGGAACTCGTCTAGAGCCTACAATACAGGAGCACTAGAGTGGGGCTGTTCTCTATAATAGTGTAGTGCTTGACACCTGCTGTTTTGCATGTTCCAAATCCATTAGAAGATACAAAGCCACCAGCGGATTCTAATGCAGACTGTGGACTTTGGGTGATGGCAACAAGTCAACATTGTGATCCACCAGTGGTAACAAGTGTATCACTGTGTGTGGGTTGTTTTATTATTTGGTGTGGTTGTATCTTTGTGGGAGCAAAGGCTATACCATGAGTCTTCACATTTAGACAATTTTGCTATGAACCTAAAACTGCTCTAAAACTCAAGGCACAAGTGGTCTGCCCTGGAGGTCGTGATGCTATGCAAGAGAAGCTAGGAACACAATGAAAACTGTCATGTGACTTTACTTCTGTGTAGAGTTTAAATGAGGTTAACGGCTAGACAGTAGAATTGGTTACTAGAATGGGGGAGGGGAGCCATCAAAGGAGAGGGAAGTTGCAGATGACAATGAAAAGCTTTCGGGTAGGTAAGAGGGATGCTTGTAGACTGACTGCACAATAGTGTTCACTAAAGAAAAATGGCACCTTTCAAAAAGAATAGAAGAGTAAAATTTAAATATCTAACCAAAATATGATAGAATGGTGGGTATGTTTGTTGGTAGGTTCTCTATTCCTTTTCATATACCTGCTTGGAAACTTGTTATATCTCATAAATATATACAATTATGGTTTAACCCATAAAAGCTATATTGATTGAAAAATCAAAAACAAGGGGTTAGAGAGATGGCTCAGCAGTTAAGAGCACTTGCTGCTCTTACAGTGGACCTGGGTTCAGTTCCTAGCACCCACATGGGGGCTCACAACTGTTTGTAAATTTCCAGGGGATTTGGTGCCCTCTTCTGGCCTCCACAGTACCAAGGTATACACATGGTACAGGAACATACATACAGACAAAACACCTACACATATAAAAATAAACAAATGAAATCATTTAAAAAACATAATCTAGATGTTTTGACCAAAGCATAAATATCATGCTATCACACATGACAGTTTCCCATGTAAGCACTTCACCCCCTACAAAGTGATGTAGAGGACTATAAAGTGATGTCCTCTATCACTTTATATCAACTATATAAAGTGTCCTAAACACTTTACATCATCTTGACACTAGTTAGAGTCAGCAGATCATAGCCCTTATGGGGAATGGCTTTACCAATTTCCCATGGGTCCAAGGCCTTGGGGTTCTTGATGACTATACCCGTGTCAATACATATTTACTCGGGACTTCAATCACTGGGGCTTCCTCTTCTCCCCACAAGATAAGATAAACCTTTTCCTTCCTCAGTTGCTTTTGAACTAAAGAGTGCCAAGACTTCTCCTTTCCACAGAAACCTCATTCAGTGTGCTGTTGTTTGCAAAATAGCTTGCTGGAATCGAAATTAGTGTTGCACTGAATATATATGTTATGTTACATATTAGATATTACATATTAAGCATTATATATTATACCAAGATACAGAATGCAGATACAGAGGTTGGCATCTTAATAGTGCTCAGTCTTCTAACCTGTAAACATGGGCTGTCAGGTTTTTGACTGGCCTTTTAGACAGCTCCCTTGGTGTTTTATAGACTTTCTGCTGTAGATCTCTACAGATTTCGTTAGGGGCTTCAGTGTTTTCCATATACTGTTTTCTCTCTCACTGATTTCCCTTTTTGTTGTTTCCCATATATGGCATGTGTCACGAAGGGCTTAGATTACAGAAACCAGTCTTCACCTTTCTGCTTTCTGAGGAGTTCTGGGCAGAGAGGGAAGAGAACCCAGGGTGGCGAGTGTCCAGGGTCGTTTGGAGAGCAGCGAAGGTCAAACCAACAGAAAATGATAGAGAAGTCAACACACAGCACCAAAACCCAAGACGATTTCTCCCTTGCTTTGAGGACTTGGGGGTTAGGATAATGGCATCTATTTTAGGGGATAATGGGATGGAGGTAGCCCCAGGAAGGAATGAACTGATTGACCTTACACTGGGGTTCAGGTTCCCCTTGCTTATTCATGACATTATATCAGAATGGGACAGACAGGAGTGAAAACATCACTCCAGGCCAGCTACATAGAAACCAGGTTCTTGGCATATCCACAGGGGTGGTTACAGGTATAAGGAGGGGGATATTCTCCAAAGCCGAAGCCTCCTCCAACTCGGCTATTATAGCCTCCCCCAATGCCACAGCTGCCCCCTCCGATGGAGATCCTTTTGGAACTCCCCACACCATAGAGGAAGCTCCTGCTGCCAAAGCCAGCTCCTCCACACATGGCCCCAGAGCAACCGCTGCCTCGGGAGTGGCACACAGACACACTGCTGAAACCAGAGCGGTTGAGCCCAGGGACTCTGGCTGAGCCGGCACTGAAGCCTCGGTGGCTGGTTTGACTCCTGATGGTGGATTTGGTAGACATGGTTCCTGGAGATGAGAAGTCTGTGAAGTGGAGAGACTGCAGGGCACAGCTGAGCAGATGAGCGGGATAGGCTCTGGGCAGCTGCTTATATATAGTATAGATGGGCTGGGCTTGGTCCTGAAGGTGGGTTTACAGCATGGGAAGGGCAGGGCTTTATACACAGTGAGCTCACACCTAGATTCTTCAGAAATGTTATCAAGTATTCATGTTGTGGTTTTGGCTTACTTTACTCAGGGAAAATTATCCTGCATCCAATTATAACTTAATCTGGGTACAGTAAATCAGTTGTTCATTCACTGTATCTCAGTTAGTCACCCACTCAGAGGTTCTGCAGGTCCTGCTGAATGTGCTGAGATCCCTCTGCTCCCTGCCTGCCCCTCTCTCCCACGGACATCCTGGAGACCAACTGTCTACTTATGCCAACAGAGAGGCTGTCACTGACCTTCAGCGATTGGGAACGTGAACTGTGACCTGTTGTCCTTTAGATCCCATCTCAACAGATAGAGAAGTCAACCACATGATGTCCCACACACCTGTCACCTGATTACAACAAACAGCTCACAGCCAGCCTTATTTTTCATGTTTCCAATCAGTTCGCTCACCGACCCTATAATATTTGAAAGCAGATCTCAAAAAATATGATTTCTTCAGTAAATAATTCATATTATGTCTAAAGATAGGCTGTTTTGTATATATGTATAAAATAACCATGTCTTTATATATGTATGTATGTATATACATATATATTTACATTAAAAATGATTCAAGGAACTGTAGAGATGGCTCACTGGTGAATAACAATTGTGCTCCTGCAGTGGACCTGACTTTAGCTCCCAATACCCACATGGTTGATGACAACCATCCATAACTCCAGTTCTAGGGAATCCCATTTCTTCTTCTGACCTCTGAGAACACCACACACACACACGTTACACATACTTACATTCACAAATCTAGTCTTATACATAAAATAACTTAAATATAACAGAAATTATTGGTTTTCCTATACTCTTGTTAGTATTTTTTAAAATATTTTGATTATTCACATTTGTAAATGTATTTAACTCTTGTTTTATGTAGGTCATAGTTCTTCAATAGTTTAACAGAACTTATCATTATCCCATAATCCTTCTTCTCCTAATAACTTAATAAAACGTGTCCTGGTGTTTTGCCTAAATGAATGTCTGTGAATCTCTTGTGTGCCTGATTCCCCTGAAGGCAGAAGAGTTGGTCAGATCCTCTAGATAGAGTTACCAGAAGGTTGTGAGCTGTGAGCCACATAGAAACCCAGGTTCTTGGAATATCCAACAGAATGGTTAAAGGTATGAGAAGGAGGGAGATATTCTCATTAAGCCTTTACCTGTCCCAAAATGAGAAATTCAGGATTTGCTTCCGGATTCTTGGCTTCCTTAATTTGACTAGCTCCAATGTCCCTAGTATTCCCCAGTTGTAGGTGTTGTAGGTGAGATCATTGGCATGTCTGAATACCATGCTGTGTTTATGCTGTTTCTTCAGGGCGCATTTCCAGAAATACAGTTCCAGTTCAGAAGAAGCAACGTTAATTGACTGGTCCCTAACTGTCATGCAAGCTTCTTGCTCATGAACAGCTGTAGTTCTAAAACAAATGCCTTATTCTCTTGTCAAAAGGCTCTGGCGATGGTGGTGCAAGGATGTGTTTCTCCACCTGAATGCTTTGGCTGAGTGTGTACAGAGGGGAAGAGGTGCCAGTGATCACATCAGGGAGACCTCACCACTTACTCCTGATAAGGGCTGTTAAAAACAAGTGTACACTAACAGTCTGCCAGATTATTGTTCTCACTGACAGGAAGACAATTCACATGGGAAGGAACACTCAACTCACATTTGTTGACTCTCTCTAAAGAAGGGGAGTGAAACACATGGGGGAACAGATGTGTTAAAATTATCATATGATGATGAGGAAATATAGGCTCTGAAGAAAGGCTATGAATTTGAAAATGGAGGCCCATGTGAGGATTTGGAGTAAGGGTAGCTAAAAGGAAGTGGAAAATAAAGAGGGAACTTGGTGTAATTATATTTTAATTTAAATGTATTAAAATTAAACATAACCTTAAATTTGAAATATATATATTTATGATAAAGACATACAGAGCTTGGAATGTGAGCAGTAGGAATACCCTAAAAGGGCCTTATCTTTCTCAGTTGCAGACTTTCTATATAAAACAATTTGCGACAAAAAATACACTTGGAGGAAGTCATTATGTTATAAACCTGCTTTATTTGGCAATTTCAAGGAAGCAAAGAGCAGAGGAGAGGTCACGTGAGCACAGACTCCATACATCACAGGACTGTTGCCTTAGGCTATCAAGTTACTGCCAGGGAGCTTCATGACATTGAAGCTGGGCATTTCTAGGGCAACAGGAAACTAAAGAGAAGCTCCCATTATGTTGAGTAGGACCTAGACAATGATTTCCAGAAGGAAAGGGACAGGGAAACCATTTCACAAGTATCGTCGGCGACAGATACAGGGAGGCAGGAGCCTGGAAACCTAAATACAACTTGAAGCATCAAATGTGAGTGAACTGTGATGTGAAGTCAGAGGATGACAATCAGAAGATGAGGCATGGGGAACCAGCAGGGACAGAGGAGCAGCAAGGTCTCAGCCTCCTCAGCTCAAACCAGAGAGCAGAGGTGGGAGGCCAGCAGGGACAGCCTCTGAGCACAGGGCTCTGCAGCCAGGGGTCTGGGGATCAGGGACCAGCTCTGGTGGCAGGGACTTCAGTGCCTGTAGCTCTTCCTGCTGGAGGAGGTGCTAGTGTACTTGATGGTGGAAGAGCTGCCACCAGAGGAGCTGAGGCCACCGCTGATGCCTCTGCCACTGCCAGAGCTGAAGCCACCTCCAAGGCCATGGCTGCTGCTGTAGGAGTAGCTGCTGCCTCCTCCCAGGCCCAGGCTGCTGCTGGCACCACCTGCACTGCCATAGCCTCTGGACATGGTGGACTGCACCACAGCTGTGGAGGAGGGAAGGTACAAGGGACACCGTGAGCCACTCTGTCCAGTGAACCAGGCACAAGGCAGGACAAGGGGAGGTGGGCAGCAGAGTACTTACAGATGTTGACTGGTCCAACGCCTTCACCATTCAGCCTAGAAGAGGAACAGAGCAGGTGAGAACCAGGGAGCCATCACCTCAGTCCCTGTGGGAACCCTCAGTCTGGCGACAGTTCACGGAGAATCCCCAGCAGAGGGTTCCTGAATGGAGCGATTGTGACCACAGCTAGTGCTCCCTCATCTTGTGCTCAGTGCCTGGCATCATGGAGGTGTCCTCAGGGGCTGGAGGAGGGGTGAATACTCACCTGCACTCCTCTCCTTCCAGCAGCTTCCTGTAGGTGGCGATCTCCATATCAAGGCCCAGCTTGACATTCATGAGCTCCTGGTACTCCTTCAGCAGCCTGGCCATGTCCTGTTTGGCCTTCTGCAGGGCATCCTTCAGCCCTTCCAGCTTGCCCCTGGCATCCTTGAGGGCTGTCTGCCCATGCTGCTCATCATCAGTAACAGCAGCCTGCAAGTTGGCACACTGGGGAAAGAGTGCAATAAAAACTAACTTGAAGTGTGGTTCTCTTGAGAGGGTGAGCCCAAGATCTTTGTTCCTAGTGAGTAAGAATCTAGAAGACCAGAAATAATGGACAGCAACCTCTGAATTTTTCTGTCTATCCTACCTGCTTCTTGACGTGGTCGATTTCAGATCTCAGCCTCTGGATCATGCGGTTGATCTCAGTGATCTCCTGCTTGGTGTTGCGCAGGTCATCCCCGTGTCTGCCGGCTGTGACCTGCAGTTCCTCGTACTGAAGGTCAGTTGAAGAGAGAGCATTTACGTGAGTTTTACATGCAAAGGCAAATTCACACTTCAGTGGCATGCAGTATCATTGGTGTAATGGCTTTCCCTCAAGAGAACCTGTAGAAGAACATGGGCGACATAGTTCTCTTGGGGACTGAAAATGTTCTGTGTAATCTCGAGCAAAGAGAGCATGGACACCATTTATGGCAACTTTCCATCTACCTCTGGGTTCTCTTGATCCTTGGACTATAACATAACTCTGTAACACAAGTACAAGGTCCATTTGTCATTACAGGATCCAGGTTCTTCTTAAAAGATAGATACCTCTAATGACATCAGATACTTATGGAACACATTCTGGGTCCCTTATTCTTCATAAGCTTCCAACTCAATACTCACTTTTGTCTGGTACCAAGATTCAGCCTCTGCCCGGCTCCTCTGAGCAGTCTCCTCATATTGGGCCTTGACCTCAGCAATGATGCTGTCCAGGTCCAGGCTACGGTTGTTGTCCATGGAGAGGACCACAGAGGTGTCTGAGATGTGAGTTTGCATCTGAGACAGTTCCTACAGAACAGAAAGAGGCAACATCAGCTATGGAAGTGAGGATTACAGATGTTCCCAACGCCCCACTCTCAGTTTGTACAGGAGAAAATAAAGGGAATGGGGACAGATTAGAAGAGGGAGAAAAATAGAGGGAGAGACAAACACACACACATACAGAGAGAGACAGAGAGAGAGAGAGAGACAGAGACAGAGACAGAGAGAGACAGATAGAGAGACAGAGAGACAGAGACAGAGAGAGACAGAGATGCAGAGAGAGACACACACACAGACTTGACTTACTGCATCATAGAGAGCTCTCAGGAAGTTGATCTCATCTGTCAGACTGTCTGTCTTGGCTTGCAGTTCAACCTTATTCATGTAGGCAGCATCTACATCCTGAGAAGAGTCCACAACATGGAATCTGGTTAACTCCCTTGCCCAGCTTGTTTTCCCTCATCTCCCTGGCAACCATTCTCTGCAATGGACCAGACTTGCAAAGCATTTTCCTCCATCAGCAGAGGAACCATCCCTGTGACTTAGTCAGCTCACCTTCTTCAGGGTCACGAATTCATTCTCTGCTGCTGTGCGCTTGTTGATTTCATCTTCATATCTACAAGAGGCAGGTTTCCACACATTGTAGTGGGTGGGTAGATGGCATCACAGGCAGCCCCTTGGCCCTACCCCAACTTCTAAAAATGCAATATATCCAAATCATGCCAAATATGAATTTGTTGTTGTTGAATATCATTCCTTTTCTCTCCCCTAGCCTCCTACAACCCTCCAGGGTCTTATTCTCTTGCTCTTTGGTAATAAATTGTCATTTTATCATTATGACTAAGTTTTCTTAATTCATGGAGTCCGGGTCTAGATTTGGGCCTTCATTAACATGAACTCTGGCAACTTGAGTTCTTCTTTTGTTAACTCACTTGTTCTTGTTGTCCTCCACTGTATCCTGCATGCTCCTCAGCTCTGAGTCCAGGCGGCCCCTCTCTCCAATGATGCTGTCCAGCTGCCTCCTGAGGTTGCTAATGTACTGTTCAAACAATGGCTCCAGGTTCTGCCTCATAGTCTTGGTGTCCTGCTTCTGCAGCAGGGTCCACTTGGTGTCCAGGACTTTGTTCTGTTGCTCCAGAAACCTCACCTAGAGGGGTCAAGTGTGAGAAGTTTGAGATTCATTCTTCTATGACCCCTTCACTAGCATGACTCCTGATTCAGGCTGTCTGCCTAGACCTCTTCAGTGTACTCCCTGGCATTGAGTCTATAGGGACAACCAGAGAGAAGCTCCCAACATCATCCCTGTAATGAAGGCAGAGCTCTCAGGCAGGGCACAGGCAGCCTAGCAGTGGCTCCCTAGAGTATGGTTTGTTTAATGTGGCTAGGATGGCTCCCAAACTGTCCTATAGAGGCTTCTGCTTCAGTAGAATCCTCTGTGATGGGAGGTCAGAGCTCATATCAGCCCACTGGAATCAGACACCCTTATGGGGCAACCTCTGGAGGAGAGGAACTCTGACCCTGATTGCCAGCTTCCAGTCTACCTAAAGAGGAGCACCAAGCCAGGACAGAGTCAACCAGAAACAATGACTGTGTTTAAGCAAAGCCTAAAGTATCTTCCCTCTGAGACCTCTGCCTTTGGCACTCACTGGAGTCTACTCCTGTGTAGACTGCTCTAGAAAGAACCACATCTCACCTTGTCGATGAAGGAGGCAAACTTGTTGTTGAGGGTCTTGATCTGCTCACGCTCCTCAGTCCTCACCCTCTGGATGGTGGGGTCGATTTGCAGGTTCAGAGGGGTGAGGAGGCTCTGGTTGATGGTGACCTTTTGGATGCCTCCAGGGGGACACACAGGGAATCCAGTGCCCCCATAGCCACCACCAAAGCCAACTCCACCACTGAATCCAAAGCCACTACCAACTCCTCCAATGGAGATCCTCTTGGAACTCCTCACATCATAGAGGAGGCTCCTGCTGCCAAAGCCAGCTCCTCCACACATGGCCCCAGAGCAACCGCTGCCTCGGGAGCGGCACACAGACACACTGCTGAAACCAGAGTGTTTGAGCCCAGGGACTCTAGCTGAGCCGACACTGAAGCCTCGGTGGCTGGTTTGACTCCTGATGGTGGTTTTGGTAGACATGGTTCCTGGAGATGAGAAGTCTGTGAAGTGGAGAGACTGCAGCGCACAGCTGAGCAGATGAGCGTGGTAGGCTATGGGCAGTTGCTTATATATAGTATAGATGGGCTAGGCTTGGTCCTGAAGGTGGGTTTACAGCATGGGAAGGGCAGGGTTTATACTCAGTGAGCTCACACCTAGATTCTTCAGAAACGTTATTTAATATTGAGGTTGTGGTTTGTCTTCCTTTATTCAGGGGAAATGCTCCTACTTCTCATTTTAACTTGATCTCAGACCGTAAATCAGCTGTTTATTCACTGTATCTCACTTAGTCACCCACTCAGAGGTTCTGCAGGTCCTGATGAATGTGCTGAGATCCCTCTGCTCCCTGCCTGCCCCTCTCTCCCACGGACATCCTAGAGACCAACTGTCCTCTTATGCCAACAGAGAGGCTGTCACTGACCTTCAGGGATTAGGAATGTGAACGGTGACCTGTTTTCCTTTAGATCCCATCTCAAACAGATAGAGAAGTCAACCACATGTTGTCCCACACACCTGTCACCTGTTTACAACAAACAGCTCACAGCCAGCCTTATTTATTCACCATGTTTCCAATCAGTTCACTCACCAACAATACAATATTTGAAAGCAGATCTCAAAACATATGATTTCTTCAGTAATTAATTCAATATGATATCTAAAGATAGGCTGTTTTGTGTATATGTATAAAATAACCACATGTCTTTATATATATGTATATATATTTACATTAAAAATAATTCAAGACACTGTAGAGATGGCTCACTGGTGAATAACACTTGTTGCTCTTGCTGAGGACCTGACTTTAGCTCCCAACATCCACATGGTCGATCACAACCATCCATAACTCCAGTTCTAAGGTATCCTATGTTTTCTTCTGACCCCTGCGGGCACCACATACACCTATGTTACTTACATTCACAAAACTAGTCCTATACATAAAATAACTTAAATATAACAGAAATGATTGATTTTCCTATACTCTTGTTAGTATTATTTTTAAATATTTTGATTTTTCAAATTTGTAAATATATTTAACTCTTGTTTTATGTAGGTCATAGATCTTCAATAGTTTAACAGAATTTATCATTATCCCATAATCCTTTTTCTCCTAATAACTTAATAAAATGTGTCCTGGTGTTTTGCCTGAATGAATGTCTGTGAACCTCTTGTGTGCCTGGTTCCTCTGAAGGCCAGAAGAGTGAGTCAGTTCCCCTAGACGTAGAGTTACCAGAAGGTTGTGAGCTGTGAGCCACTTGAACCCATTTGAACAAGAGCAGGCAATGCTCTTCCCTGCTGAGCCATCTCTCCAGCCCCTCTCCCAGTTTGTTTAATCTCCTTAGTGTTTCAGTTGCTTCTTTCTCCTTGATTGCTCCTGGTGAAAGCTTAACAGGCCACTGTGTCTTCCTGTCTTCTGTAAACTGATATTACTTAAATAATGAGTCTCAACGAGATGTAGTCAAGCGTTTCATGAGTGGGGATGCCTCCAGCAGCTCTTGCATTTTTCAGGATGGTTTTAACACTTCTGGGTTATTCCTGTTTCCACAAGAAGCTGAAATTTTTCCTGCCAAAATCCGTGAAAAATTGTGTTGGAATATTGATGGGATTGCATTGAATCTGTAGATTGCTTTTGGTAAGATGGACATTTTTTTTTTTCATTAATTCTACCAATCTGTGAGCTTGGGAGATCTTCCCGTCTTCCTGATAATCTTCTTCAACAACTTAAACTTCTTATCCTACAAGTCTTTCACTTGCTGGGTTAGAGTTTTATGTATTTCATGTTATATGAGGGTACTTTGAAATGTGTTGTTTCCCTTATTTCTTCCTCAGTCAGTTTGTCTTTTATATAGGAAGGACACTGATTTGTGAGTTCATCTTTTATACAACTACTTGCTGAAAGTGTTTATCAGCTGTAGGAGTTTCCAGGTGGCGTACATACATGCCATATAATATATATATGTATGTATATATACATATTACAGTATATATATACTGTCATATTATCTGCAAATGGAGAATCTTTAACTTCTTTCTTTCCAATTTGAATCCTTTTGATCTCCTTCAGTTGTATTATTGCTATAGCTAAGACTTCAAGTACTACATTGAATAGATCTGGAGAGAGTTGACAACCTTGTCTTGTTTCTGATTTTAGTGGAAATGCTTTGATTTTTCTCTCCTTGTAATTTTATATTGGCTGTGGGCCTTATGTAAATTGCCTTTATTATGTTAAACTACTCAGTTAAACCAACATATATATTTTAAAAATATCTTGACTTCAAAATTTGGGTTTAAGTATTTGTTGCTTTGGAAAAGAGGTTCTGCTTTTGTTTCCGCAGAAGATGAGATTGCTTCCAGGCTAATATGTCTTGATTGACCAAGACTACATGAACGGCCTTGATGACAGCCATAGCCCAGAGAATCCAACATGTAGAACAGCTTCAAGGCAACTGGCAGAGACCACACAACTTCACAGATGATTACAGCCAAGATTTTAACTATAATTCTAAATTTTCTCAGGATCCTCATAAGATTGCTTGTGCCTCTAATCAGCATGAAGTGGTATGAAAAGTTCTGCCCAAATTCCAAAATATTGTTTTAAGTATTTGTTTTTATTTAAAGGTGGGTGATTATAAATGCAATAAATTTCTAAGGAACAAAGGAGGGTATGATACAGAAATTATAAATAGATAGATTATTAAATCTACTTTAATCCAAAATAACAACTGTTAATCTCAAAATACTTTATATTGATATGGATTTTGGTTTATTGATACAAATTTAATGTCAATATGTTATACTCTATAGATATTTCTACTCTTGTTTAAGGTATTATCTTTATGCAACTCATTTAAAATTGTAATGTATAATTAAGACATCAAGATTAATAATTAGTCATCTATGATAATCAAACTTACAGTCATGTTAGCTAAGTTTTCTAGGTATACAAAGATATATTTCAATTAGAGTAGATAATCTTCAAACACTTCAGAAACCTACAGAATTTAAAATGTTTTAAGAATTTAAACTTTTCTAGACAGTAAGACACATCTGCTCCTGGCAGCACCAATACTTCGAAACAGATGATGGACAACGAAGAAACTCGTTATGGAGTTTGCTTACAATATAGAAAAGGCTAGTCATTTGGGCAAGTAACTGCTCTTGCCTGGACTACTTGACAATATGCTGTATAAACAGCATGTGTGGGAACCATAGGAAGGTGACTGTTGAACTTTGCCAAAACAAGACACGATGGTCCTTCAGGTATCTGCTTCACAGAAGAAACTTCCAGACATTCTGCAGGACACAGAGGAAAGTGACTGATGAACTTTGCTATTAGGCAGATCAGTCCTTCAAATGTCCTGCTTCAATGAAAATTATACCAGAGACTCTAGGCCTGTAGGCTGAAGATAGATGCCCCAACGTTGCACAGGAACTTTGGGTGACTGTCCAGGCAGCCAGATGCCTCTGTAATTTCTAGAATTTTGGAAGTTGCTTGCAATGCACTTCCTGTTTACTCAGACAATATTATATCCTTCTTGGGTCATTGATAGAGTTGAAGACTAGACAGTTATAATTATAGTTTTCCTTAATCATGATAAAAGGTAAATTAGATATGAAACTTTAGACTCACAAAAAAATAAGATAGATATAGAGTATTTTCTTTAATTTTGCTAAATACAAATAGACTAGATGTTGTAACATAATTCTTGCTTGATAACTATTTGTTATATGTAATTTTTCTATGTTAAAATAGAAACATTCCTTTTTGATTAGACAGAAAAGGGGAAGTGCTGTGGGATGGTCTTTCTGTAAGCTGTGAATATGTGTTGCTACGACTGGTTAATAAAGAAGCTGCTCTGAGCTATGGCAAGTCAGGTTATAGCCAAGAGGGAAATTCAAGCAAAGATACAGGGAGAAGAAAGGTGGAGTCAGGGGAGCCATCCAGCTGCCCAAGGAGCAAGATACCAACAGACTGGTAACGCCATGGCCATGTGACAAAACATAGATGAATAGAAATGGGTTAATTTAAGATGTAAGAGCTAGCTAGCAATAAGCCTGAGCCATTGGACCAAATAGTTTGTAATTAATATTAAGCCTCTGAGAGATTATTTTATAAAATCGTCAGCTGCCCTGCCTGCACCAGGCGGGACCAAGAAACTTCCAGCTATAGGCTTCCTTTAATCAGGGAAAATGCTTCTGCCTCCACTTTTGACCTGATCTGAGTACAGTAAATCAACTGTTCATTCACTGTATCTCAGTTAGTTACCGACTCAGAGGTTCTGCAGGTCCTGCTGTATGTGCTGAGAGGCCTCTCCCTGCCTGCCCCTCTCTCCCACGGACATCCTGGAGACCAACTGTCCTCTTATGCCAACAGAGAGGCTGTCACTGACCTCAGCGATTAGGAATGTGAATTGTGACCTTTTTTCCTTTAGATCCCATCTCATACAGATAGAGAAGTCAACCACATGTTGCCCCACACACCTGTCACCAGTTTACACCAAACAGCTCACAGCCAGCCTTATTTATTCACCATGTTTCCAATCAGTTCACTCACCAACCCTATACTATTTGAAAGTAGATCTCAAAAAATATGATTTCTTCAGTAATTAATTCAATATTATATCTAAAGATAGGCTGTTTTTGGACATATGTAGAAAATGAAAATACGTCATATATATATACTCATTAAAAATGATTCAAGGAACTGTAGAGATGGCTCACTGGTGAATAACACTTGTTGCTCCTGCAGTGGACCTGACTTTAGCTCCCAACATCTACATGGTCAATCGCAACCATCCATAACTCCAGTTCTAGGGAATCCCATGTCTTCTTCTGACATCTGAGGGCACCACACACACATGTCACACATACTTACATTCACAAAACTAGTCCTATACATAAAATAACTTAAATATAACAAAAATGATTGATTTTCCTATACTCTTGTTAGTATTATTTTTAAATATTTTGATTTTTCAAATTTG